GCTCAAAAAATGCTGGGAAATCTCTTCATGTAGCCCTACAAGAGTGATTGCTGATAAACTGTCTGAAAAAAAGAAAGTCACGTTTTAGAGAAGAAAAAAAATCACCCACTGACTTTCAAAGCTGCTACATAGTAACGACTTTCTACTTCGAGGACCTTGATAGAAATGTAGTGGAGTGAAAAGTACAATATTTGTCTTTCAAATGTAGTGAAGTTAAAGTCATAAGTTCCCAGAAAAAATAATACTCAAGTAAAGTACAGATACTCACAAAGTGTACTTAAGTACAATACTCAAGTAAATGTACTTAGTTAATGTCCGCCTCTGACTCTCTCTCTCTCTCTCTCTCTCTATATATATATATATATTATTAATATTGCAGCCTGCACTGCAAGCTGTGCTGAAGATACAAGTCATCAAAGTCAGGCAACACAAACCTGTTTCATGATTTGAAACAATATCACTTATTAGAACATGCAGAAACTAAGAAATAAGTTTTTCTGTTATTTATTTTGTTTAGGAAAAATGACTGGAAAAGTGTAAAGAATTAAAAAACGTGCTGTGTTTGTCATGTTCTGGCCATAAAGAGTAGTTTAAAACCACAATTAGCTGTCTGGTTTCTACAACTTTCGCTTAGGAGCAAAAATGTGCCTAAAGATTTAAAATTGATTGTGATAATTATCAGTATCAGCTGATATGAAACATTTTATTGTGATAATTTTTTGGCCATATGGCCCAGCCCTGCCATGATGTACTCACCTGCTCAGTTTGAAGTCCTTCAGGAATGATGTAGAAGATTCCCTTGTGGTTGTTCTTTTTTGAGGATAAGTTTGTAGTTATAAGTAAAGTCTCACGGGAGGCAATTCAATCTCTTATTTTATTGGTTACCATACAAAGCAGTTAATGCAAAAATAAAACCTAAAATCAGTCAAGCTATGAGTTCTATAATCAAACTCTATAAACGGCAATACTGGAGATGCTGTAAGGTGTCCCTCGACAGGGTATCAGGTGTCCTTCACGCTCAATGCAAGCAGCATCTGAAGAGTGGTTTACTCCTCAGACCTTTTATACAACTTTTTGGGGAACTCCAATTACATATCAATGTGTGATACATCTAATAAGGCAGATTTCATTCCTATGTCGCTTGCATTTTCATATAGCACTCTTCCTCTTCTTCAATGCAGTTTTCATCTGTCTCATCACTGCTTGATGTTACAACATGCTCTCTTCACCACTGAGTACCCTCATGTGGTTGTTTGCAGAGCATCAAACTCAGAATCCTAACTTTCGCTTATTCATCCTATCTTAAAGGGGATGTCTAGTGCTTTTTCATGCATTCTGACTTATTTACGCTGCTAAGGAGTTGGACGTATGACGGAGTATTTCTGTGGCAAAGACACTGCTTCAGGGTTTGTGTAAGTTTCGGGTTGCATAGGTCATACATAGGTCAAGACTGACTCATGCATTTTGGCTTAAAGGTGAAGGCCCTACTCAATGCATGTTTTGCAAATTCCCCTTTCTGTCAAACATATTTTATTGGACGGTCCAGCTTTTAATGTATGTAGAAAACTCTTTTATGAAGTGAACTCACTTAAAGAGTTATTTAGTAAAAGTTTGCCAGAAGTTTTAGAATTTTTATCATGTTAATGTAAAAAATCTTGCGTAATATAACTTGTGTTTGTTTGTGTGCTAGTTTTTTATTGTATTTGTTATACTTGTATTTTTTAAAAATGTTTTTGCCATGAAAATAGCCTAAGATGCTGACGTGGCATTAAATAAAAGTTTCGTAAAGTGTTTTTGTTTTGTTTTTTCGAGTATGGCCCTGTATGACATCATAAAGGGCGGAATTCCTTGTATGGGCACTTCTCCAGGAAGAGTGCGCGCACACATCAACCAGGTATGCGTTTCCCGAAAGCATCGTTAACGAACTATGGTCGAAAGTTCCATTGAATTCTATTTGTAACAATGGAACTTGCGACCATAGTTGCTTTCGGGAAACGCACCCCAGAGCGAGAACGAGCTCGCCCATCAACGCGTTTCATTTCGGGTTGCAGAAGTTGTCGGGGTCAATGAAGTTTTTGTTCCTGTTTTACTTACGTCAGTGTCACAGCTTGAAAACGATTGCTAAGCAAAAGCTTTGTGTGCTTGTGAATCTTTAGCTCACACAGCATGCCTCCAAGAGCTTGACTTTTTTTGGTACAGCTGTATCTGTCCTTAATAAATCTGATAAAACTAAAGATTCTTCGGATATATGAAGGATGTGATAATACTCTATAGGGATTAACTTGAGTAACATGATAAACTGAAAGAAACTGTGTGTTATATACGCTTTAAAGTAAACGAAAGAAGTATTGCAAGTACTTTCCAAAACATTCAAGCATTTTTATACTAAAGCATATGGCATTAACTTAAAATTAAGCAAATAATATAACATTGAAACAGGTAAATATCAATATCCAAAACACCCCTTTCTTGCCATTTTCCTGGTTCAGTCGTAACACATTTATTACTCTCTCATTCTCATTTGCATGTAAACCTCATTGGTCTTTTTGTTAAACTCCATAAATTCACTGAAAACTTGACCTTGTGTCGTTATCTTCATTTTCTCAGTAACATTCATGTTCTCTTTCATTCATATTTTTCACTTTTTTGGACTCGATACATCTCCCTCTTAGTACATCTTCCCTAAGGTCTGTATCTCTTAATATAATTTTAGTGCCAAATTTTTGCATTCCAAAGGATGGCCCTGTCTACTATAATACAATTTGTGACTTCATGTACATAAATTTGGTCCACTGTAATCAGTTGGCTAGCTAATTCAACTAGAGGTCATATCCCTACTAGTGTTACGGTGACTGTTACCAATATTACTATTAATATGGGTTTTAGCAAACATGGTTCTTTCCATTTCTTCAATTTTCTTGACAAATTTTCTTGTTTTTCCCCTCCATCCCATTTTTCAACGGCCATGTCTGACTCAGGAATAATCCTGCACTTTATTCCCCAGCCAGTTCCATTTCAACTGCACAGGCGAGTATTTCAGGTTCTGATGTTGTGGTTAAATTCACGATTACCTTGTCTATCAGGGCCAGTCTGTGTGCTTGTAGATATTCCGTTTCTCCTTCTATAATAGGTTTTCGTTATGTAGACTTTGCACCTTTCTCTTTCTGAGGGCTTTCCTCCTTCCAGAAGTCTATA